TCCAACAATTTGACAGCTCAAGAGATCTAGGTATCCATTTAGAAGATCTTGATTACTGTGAGGCAAGTTCCAGTGTGATTGCAGGTAAAAATACAGAACTCCTGCCAGTCTACTTTTTACCATAAATTCCCTTCTGCATTGTTCTATCAGGACATCTCTCTTTTCAGTATTTTCATTACCATTGTTAATAGCTTTGTTACTGTAGTTGTTGATGCAAAGCTAGAGATCAAACCCAAAGCCTAGAGTGTGCCCTTGTGAACCAGAATTCCTGGAAAGAAGTTGGGACTACAAAGCTGTTAACTGATTTTTAGAATCTTGGTGGTCTTTAGAAGTTCTAAAGACTTGAGTGACTTGGATAAGGTGGAATGTTGCAAGTCCAGATCCTAATTACCTTGCTCCATCTTTAGTCCCCTTGCTTGTCATTCATCTTGCTCTGTATGTGACCTGACACTTTTGTGACCATTAGGTAAATCTTTTAGAATGTACAAACAGACCCCTGGTTCTGACCAACTAAAAGGCTAGGGATTCTGTCAGAGAGCATCTGGTTCCTGTAGCTGAGATTTACTTGCCTTTCTGTGACCCACCTACCTGATGTTTCCACCAGTGTATTTGAGAAGTGTCTGGATTTATGATTTATTTCTTCTGCTACAATATAACTTACTGGAACAGTTACTATGTTAGAACATGGAATTTTAGTAACCTGAATCTGAGTCCCTTAGTCACTGTCACAAATTTGGCTCCAGAATAAGCTATCTCCTATTCTTCTTGAGGTAAGAGTCATTGCTTTCCTGTGTACCAGGTAAAGTGCTCCATCATGGAGCATTTGACACAGGATTCTAGATATTCTTAACCATTTTGTAGTATCGAATGCTTTTTATGGCAGCTAATCTGTGGAAGTATAGACTGTATGAATAAAATTCACCCTTAAACACCAGTACTAGTTTTAGGCAAGAAAGGATACAGCTAAGGATAATTTTTCACATGGCTTTATGATTGTAAAACTAAGTTTCTTCTAGGCATTAAATGGCAGAGGGGAAGTAAGAATTTTTCATAACTATACCCAGTTTTCCTTGATGCTGATTTATAGTAGTTACTCTGTAAATTGTGTTCCTAGTTGATTTGTTTTCTTTGACTCAGTTGTTCCTGTGTGACACATTTTGTTTTTTTGTTTTTTTTTTGGTTCTTGTTCTTGTTTTGGTTTTTTGTTTATTTGTTTGTTTTTGCTTTTGCTTTGAGTATTGGTTAGTGAAAGCTAATGTCTCCCTGAAATCCTAACCCAGCTCCCAGTGACTTGTTTTTAACTTGTTCATACAAATCATTTCATCTTTTCTTTGTGCAAACGGTCTTTAAAAGAAATTTAGCCTCTTGTCTTAGTTACTTTTCTATTGTTATGATAGGACATCATGACCAAGGCAACTTTTAGAAGATTTTATCTGGGGATTATAGTTTCAGAGGGTTAGAGTTCCTGAGCGTCAATGTCAGGGAACATGGTGGTAGGCAGGCAGGCAGGCCTGTGGCATGGTTCTGGAGCAGTAGCTGAGAGTATGTCTTGATTTACAAGCACAAGGCAAAGTGCTATCTGTGAATAAACTGGCCTTTAGAAAACTTCAAAGCCTACCCATGTGACACACCTCTTCGACCCAGGCCATGCCTCTAATCCTTCCCAAACTGTATCACCAATTGAGATCAAGTATTCAAATATATTAGCCAATGGGGCTTATTCTCCTTCAAACCACCACAAGTCTTCATTACTTTTAGGACCTGAAATTTCAGGGTCTCTTATTGTTTTGACTTTTGATTTCCATTTACCATTTATTTTAGTAACACAGATTGATATTTTAGTAGAAGTATTTAAGTTGTAAATTTAGTGGAGTTCATTCACATGCATTTTTTTTGTAGTAGTAGATTGGCAAATTAATTGAATGACTAAATACATTAGGCCATAACAATTCCTTTCTTATAGATTACTTCTTTTTCCTCCCAGTTTACACATGCCCCAGAACTTATTTGAAATAGATTTAAAGGAGAGTCTTCAAGCTGTTCTAAAGCTCTTTCCACTGTTCACTTTCTGTGTTATTACAGGGTTCGTTATGAAATAAGGATTTCAACATTTTGATTTTCTGTATTATTTTTGTGTAGGCATTATACCTAAGGGGGCAGCTTATAGAAAAGTGTAACTCATAATTAAGGAGACGCCACTTGGCCATGCTACTTGGTTTTGGTGATTTGGGCCCAGTGGTAAGGCAGAATACCGTTCTGGGCTCTTGGTAAGGCAGGGCTTTATGCTAGTGAGAGTGTGTAAAGTAGGAGACAGTTTACCTCATGGTAATCAAGAAGGAATCACTGGTAACCATGTATATTTTACATACTTCCTCCAAACAGCCTTTACGTCCTCAAGTCTCTGGAACCTCCCAACATAGTGCTGCTAGCTGAAAACCAACCAAGCACTCAACCATAAATCTGTGCGGGATTTCTCACACAGTAACACTTTGCTCCAGCCCCAAAGGTCCGTGACTGTTTGATAATCACATGCATGGAGCCTGGTTCCAATCCTCAGACTAAGCAGTTTAGTTCTGTTCCCAAGTCTAATGTCAATGTTTCTGACACTCAAGGCAGGCAGGGGCCCGTTTGCTGTGAGACCCTGTAAGGTAAAAAGAAACTTACATGACAATTCTGGTGGGAACGTGGAAGGTTAGACTGTCAGCAGGAGTACAGTCAGTGACGCCAGGCTTAAGAGGTCTCAGGTGAGAACAAGGATGCTTTGAGGGATTGGACTACAGGCCATTCATATTATACTCTGGTAAAGAATTTGTAAAGATTTATCTCTTCAGTGAAACTTTGTCACAGGCTGAATTAAAAGCTAACAGACTAGTTAAGCTATTAGAAGAAATGTCCACATTTCAAGTTGTTGGTTTGTTGTTGTTTTTGCTTTTTGAGATGGGTTCTTACTGGGTAGCCTTAGCTGGCCTGGAACACTGTCGACCTGAGATCCCTTGATCTTGGCCAGCTGGGATTAAAGGCACCTTCGACCATGCTCAGACTGTAATATGGTTATCAGTAGCCACATCTTACTAACTTTACAGTGAGAATCAAGAGCAGTAACATGAAGTGTGATTGTATTACTGTGTCACAACATACTAGCCTACATAGACACATTGTTTCAGAATCATTCCTCCAGTCAGTTCCACAGGTATCTGCATAACATTGTCAGGTAGTCATAGCATGGCAACCCACCTCTCTGCTACTAGTCTTACTTTGCATCGCTTTGACTAGATGCCAGAGAAAGCAATTTAAAGGGTGAGGAATTGTTCTGACTTGTGCTTCTTGAGGTTTCAGATTGTGATTGTTTGGCTCGTTGCACTTGGGGAAAAGGTACCATGGTAACAGCAGTGTGTGACTAAGGAGCTTCGTTTCCTAGGGATGGACAGGAGCCAGAGGGGAAGTTACCAAGGATGGGCATAACCTTTCAGTGGTATTTCTTCAATGACCTACTTGCTCCACACTAGTCCCCACGTTCTCAGATTTCCAGAATCTCCCAAAATAGCACTGCTAGGTGGGGACCATGCATTTGACACTCAAGCCTGTGAAAGAATAATTTCATATTCAAACCAAAAGCAATGCCTTAATGGTTCTATTCTAACAAATTTATGCCTGTAAAAATTAATACACGTAACATAGACGGAATAGTGTCTGTGTTTAATTCTTGATTGAGCAAAGCTGCTTGGTAATGGAATATATATTTGATGGCTACTCCAAGAATTTTAGATCTTAGATGCCAAACCTGTATTTGTGTATCTTCATTTGTCTTTTTAAATGTACATATTGACTTTATAAGTAAAATTGTAGATGTTTGGAGGCATTCTGATTACTACTACTATGTGTTTATAGCTTCATATATAATGCATGTATAAACATTGTTTTAGCTCTAGTGTGTACAACCTTTTCACATTATGAAGCAATGTCATTACACAGCTCATGCTTGAGAACTGTACTGTTCAGTTTATGATGTTTGTGTTGGGGCACATTCCTATCTGTAGTGAATGGCTGTAAGGGTCCTGGGCTATAGATTAGATATGTCTGCAATGATTGAGATTATTTTTAGAGTCTTAGCATTAATATGTGTAAATAATACTTTACTTTTTTTTTTTTGACTATTCCTAGTGTTGATTCATGAGGTATTGCTGTCAGTTCAATTAACCAGAAATGGAAGGTTCTGCAAAAGCATCTGTAGATTCTGAAACAGAATCTCCTCCAAGTATTACTGAAACTGCTGCTGCATCTGGGCAGAGACTTTCTGAAAATACTCCTATACACCAGCAAGTAGATGATCTTGTAGAACAAAATTCGAGTTATGTGCAAGATTCTCCATCCAAGAAAAGAAAACTCGATGCTGAAATCATCTTAGAGGAGAAACGCTCTGAGGATGATGGAAATGCTTCAAAGAGAACTAAATTGGAGAGGGTCGATGTGTCGGAAGACGAGCCTTCCCCTGGAGGGCTTACCCAGAGAAAGAGAAAACTGCAACCTCAGGATGTTGGGGAAACTCGGAAAGTATGCTGCCAGTATTTTATTTTTAATTCAGTGTGCTAACCAGGAGTATGGAGCAGCTGTGGAGAAATTATAGATGTATTTAAACAAACAGTTTAGGAATGGCTTGTTTTTAAATAAATATTATCTTAAAGTACAATAGACTCTTATCTCTTAAAATTTTGTTAAGGTGAACCTTGTGCTGGGATAATTTCATATTGTTTTGAAACTCTTGTTTGACCAGAACTTTGAAAGCTAGTTTCTATAGTTTGCTTTTTACTGATTTTTTTTTTTTAAAGATTTATTTATTTTAAATGAGTACACTGTAGCTGTCTTCAGACACACCAGCAGAGGACATCAGATCCCTTTACAGGTAGTTGTGAGCCACGATGTGGCTGCTGGGAATTGAACTCAGGACCTCTGGAGGAGCAGTCAGTGCTCTTAACCGTGAGCCATCTCTCCAGCCCTTATTGATTTTTTTTTAAGATGGTAGTATGTGGCCCAGCTGATTTTCTGTTTGCCCTTTTTTATTGGATGTTTCAAGGATAAATATCAAGCTTGTGTCCAGCTGTTTCCTCCCTCACTAATGTGCTAGAGTATAAACCTCCCAGCTTCTAATCTTGTTTACATGGTTATTTGTCATAATTTTGATGATGTTGATGCAAAAGGCTGATGCAGAGCCAGGTATAACAAACATTTGCCATATTGGAAAGGATACTGTGGCTGAATCTGGGGTTGGAGAGGAAAAATGCTTTGCAAATTAGTAACATTTTGTTGTCAGGCCTGAAAGAGAAAGTAGCAGGCCAGGCTTTCACCAACAGTGTCCTTGTAAAAAGGTAATCTCATACCTTAAACTTGAGTTTTTAAACTTACACTGGAAGATTTTTTTTTTCCCAAGTAAAATTTGACCCTTAAATTTGATATATAAAATAAAGAATTAGATGCTTTGAAAACGATGGCAGAGGCTGAAGACCTTTACCTGCTATGGAATTTTTATAGAAGCCTTAGTATTTTAGTAAATATAGATCGAAAATTGTTTCATTAGATTAATAATGTTTAATAAAAGTCACTGATACTGAGTGTAACCTACTAAATGCTAACTCCCCTATATATGCATTATATAATCATAACAATAATTCCCTACTGATATTAAAGTGTATAGCTTATTTCTTTTACTCCCTTTTAGGAAGTCCATCCATTGACTAACTTATTAAGTTGAATAAATCAAAACTCTGAAGCACAGTAGTTTTCTTAAAGTATTTAGTCTTAAATTATATAGGTAAAGGTCACAGTCAAGTTCTTAAACTGGGAATTATTTTTACAATGAATCAGAGCAATCCTTCTTATGGGTGGTGGTAGTTGGTATTATTTCTGTGGGTCCAGCCTTTGCTTGAGTTGTGCATGCATGATATGTAATGTAAGTCAGGTGATCTGAGGCTGGCTTTTCCTTCTTTTCCAGGTTGTGCTCTAATCCTTAATTCTGTTTCTTTCAGTTTCAGAAGCTGGAGGAAGGACACAGCTCAGCTGTGGCTGCCCACTATAATGAGCTTCAGGAAGTTGGCTTGGTGAAGCGTAGTCAAAGTCGCATTTTTTACCTAAGAAACTTTAATAATTGGATTAAAAGTATTCTTATTGGTATGATCATTTTTTGCCCTTTGGTTGGGAAATTTAAATTTGTGTTGAGGTACATTGCTTTTCACCGAACCCAAGGATGCACTCATTGAAAATGCTGTGCAAATAAATTGCATTCACAGCCCATCTCCCTTTGGGTCTTCCCTCCCAGCTTCAATCATATATCATGCTTTGAAGGCCTTTATTTACCCTTCCCTTTGTGGTCACGCTTTGGTTTTTAAAAAGCTAGAGAGCTAGAAGTAGGTCCTTGGGAGAAATTATTTGACTATTTGTAGTTCATTGTATGGGGGCATTCATAATGCTTAGTTGTTATTAAGTTAAACAGGCTTTCACTTGGCAGTGTCCTTTATACTTGTAGTTAATGTTACTCAAGGCTATTACATAATTGTCTTACTCTAATAGTTTTAGTGACATGCATGTTGGATTGCACATTGAGTTTTTATTATGTCAAGAAAAGGACAGCATTAGGACTACCTGTGTGCCTTTCCTGAGCTGCTGTCGGTTACAGAGCTTGTCTGTCTTACATGATTTCTTGAGGACCGATAAAGACAATACAGCTTTGGAACTAATATTTTGTCTATGGAAACTCACCTTTAAAATTAAAATAGAAATGAGTAGAGAAAATATGACTTAGAATATAAGTATTGCTTTCTCTGTCTAGTTAAGTCAGATTTGTGTGTAAGTTTAGAGAAATGAGTAAAGTTTAATGGGAATTCTAACAAGTTTACTTTGAATGCTTCTGTATTTCACAGGTCATTTTGTTGTTTTGGTGACTTAAGTATTAAGATTCATGACAGAAACTTAAATATGGGACAGTTATGCTTCTAATGAAAGCTACTTTCATATTTATATTGAAGGCAGAAATATTGGTAGTGAATATTTAGCCACCCAAATAGTATCCATAAAAATGGTAAAGTATTAAACAGAGTAATAGACTAGGGGAAATAAGTGTAAGATTCATTATTGCATCAAGTTTTAGTACTGCTGAATACCTCATTTATGTCAGACTATTATTCAGCCTTTTAAACTGTTGAAACTTCTGCCTGTTTATGAGGTGAAAGGTATATGTTTTTGACTAGTTCTTAAGATTGACTGCAAAGAGAATCAGCTGCTCTTATCATTCCATAGCTACTTCAGTTAAAGTGTGTCACAGTTAAACACTGGACTCTGGGAAGCAATAGAAAAAGCTGTAAGGGGGCTGGAGAGATGGCTCAGTGGTTAAGAGCACTGACTGCTCTTCCAGAGGTCTTGAGTTCAAATCCCAGCAACCACATGGTGGCTCACAACCATCTGTAATTGGATGCGATGCCCTCTTCTGGTATGTCTGAAGACAGCCAGTGTACCCACATACATGAAATAAATAAATAAATCTTTAAAAAAAAAAAAAAAGAAAAAGCTGTAAGAAATGCAAATTAGTTTTTCTCTTATCACAGATATAGCAGCTTTTTTAAAATTAGAACTTAAATATCACCTACTTAACAATTCACATTTTGAAAGTATCCTTCAAGAAATCGTTTCAACCTTGTAAAATGACATGTGTACTCTTTAATAATAAAGGATCAAGTTATTTTCTCTATCAGATTTTGGAATACCAACTTAATATTACTATACATTAATGTAGTATAGTCCATATGATTTGTCAGACAGAAGCTAGTAGGTTTTTAAAGAAATTGCTGTAGTAAAAATAGAGAAAATGTGTTATGATTGATTTCTCTCTTTTAGGGGAAATTTTAGAAAAGGTACGGCAAAGAAAAAATCGTGACATCACTGTTTTGGACCTGGGATGTGGCAAAGGTGGAGATTTGCTCAAGTGGAGGAAGGGGAGAATTAGCAGGCTAGTGTGTGCTGGTAAGATAGACATTGACAAGGTAAAGAGCTGTTTTGGAGCCCAATGTAAAAGCACTTGCCGTGCAGGTCTAACCACCTGAGTTCAATCCCAGAACCCACATAAAGGGGGAGAGGCAAGTACTTGCTTGTGCGCTGCCTCTCCTTTGTTCACGCACACATGCACAGATACAGTGATAATAATGATAGCTCAACAACTAAACGAAAAACACATCTTAAAGATCAGAATTATTTTGGTCAGTTAGGTGAATGGGAAATTAAAGGGGCCTTCTTGCCAATATGATGCTAAGATATCTGAAGGTACCTTCTCTGCATATGATAGGTTTTTGAAAAATGAGTTAAGGCTTTTCTTATGGTTTTGTGATACAGTTAGTGTTAACTTGACGTTCTCAAAAGAAAGGACATATTGATCCTATTATACTGTTAGTCCTGTCAGGCATCATACTCTTTCTGTCTGATGGATCATGGAGTGTACAACAGCATCGCCTCCAGAGTACTGCCCACATCAGTAGTTTCCTTAGTTCTCCTGTTGGATGAGCCATACGTACTAAAACAATTTCTGAAGAATTGATGATTTTATGTGTGTGGCTGAAGCTGTTGATTCTTGAACATGTTAGAAATTGAGGCTGTGATTTTTAATTCATACAAATAAAGTATAATGGGAATTTTGGCATGTAAACTTTGAGAAATGTCTCTATTTTTACCAGATCATTTTGTTCTTTTGGTGACTAAGTGGTTGTAAAAGAAAGGTATCGTTAGCCTTTTCAGATAACTTTGGATTCACCTTTGGGGAGAATCAAGCGGCGGGCAGTTCTGTAATGGGAGTTAGGTGTGGGATCTGAAGCCTTCTGGCAAACACTGCATATTCCCTTACTTTCAGACCCATTGGTCCCTCTGATTTTTTTCAGAATACCTGGAAAGTACTGTTTACTGAAGTTATCTTATGACTGACACCACAAAATCACATTTTCTTAATATTATCACCAGTTACAAAGGTGGTTGACAGAATTTTTTTTTCCTCAGAATTGTGTTTTTTTTTTTTTTTTTTTTTTTGAAAGTCAAATTTTATCTCTGGCAGTAAGCATTATCCATTGTGTCCCTTGAAATGACCCTATTCGTCTTCAGAAATACTTGTATGATATGATAGAGTTGGAGAGCCATTCTTTCAAGTTTAAGTGACTCTTTTTGAACACATGACAATGTCAGCTCACCACCCTAGATGTGCCAGGTGCTCCTAGTGACAGGAAAAGACTGCTCCTTACTTCCCCATGGTGATGCTCGGAGACAGGAATCAGAGCCAAGACTGAGTTTCTGCTATATGGAGGACATTCTAAGTGAAAACTCGCTTTCCCCCGCTCCATATAGTGAAGAACACAGGACACCTTCATAGCGCCATTTGGTGCCACTGCTCTGCATGTATGACTAAGGGCTCTCTTTACCCATCACGCTTTTCTGTCCCAAGTGCAAATCTCATAGCAAGGAGAACAAATGCATTTCAGTATGAAAACAGTGATTTGATATTTCACAAAATGAGCTGATGAGTGGTGTTAGCCTTTATAGTTCAAGTTGGAATCTGAGTTTTCTGCCTCATATTTTGAATGAATATTTAAAACCTGGCTCAGTGCATAAAAGCCCTTGCTGTCTGTCCCTGGTAAGTTCTTAGAACCCATGATGGAGGGAAAGAACCAACTCCTGAAAGCTGTTCTTTGACTTCCACACATACAATGATGATAAAACTGTTTAGCCTTGGCTAGCATAAGTACTATTAAGAAAGTGCTACAGGAACAGAGAAGCTGCTTATTCTGCGTGGAATGTAGTTAAACATTCCAACAAAGCCTTTGTGTAAAAGGAACTGGACAGACCCATACAGCCTTTTCCTTATCTTACTCCTAGATTTCCTGCCACAATTTTATCAGTTGAGTTGCTATTCTCTGTTGACGTTTACACCTTTTACCCTTCCAGATATTGCTGATATTTCTATGAAACAGTGTCAACAACGTTATGAAGACATGAGATGTCGTCGTGATAATGAGTATATTTTTAGTGCAGAATTTATAACTGCTGACTGTTCAAAGGTACAGATTTTTTGTTTTAATTTTTTTGGTTTATTCTTAGGTGTATCAGTGTTTGGCTGAATTTGTGTTAGTGTGCACCACATGCGTGCCTGGTACCGATGGAGGCCAGATGAGGGTATTGAATCCCCTAGAACTAGAATTAAGGACAGTTTTAAGCTGCCATGTGGGTTCTGGGAATCCAACCTGTGTCCTGTACAAGAGCAGCCAGTGCTCTTAGCTGCTGAGCCATCTCTTCAGCCTCATCTTTTACAATCTGTTTTTTTTTTTTTACAGTGCTAGGATCAACTGCAGGGGTCAGCATGCTGCATCTCCCATTTTTAAGATTGATTCATTTGTTAAATTGTGATTGGAAACATGCATTTTCAGTTTCTATTAGAAAATCTTATAATAAATCCTTGGATATTTTTAGACAAGTTTTACTTTTAATGAATGGATATTTTGAAGTCACTTATGATTTAGGCAAGATTTATTTTCAAATGGTCATCTCTTAGTGTCCCTAAAGTCTCAGAGTCTACAGAAGCTCAAAGTCCCTTTTATAAAATGGCATAGTATTTGTGGATACCTACACAGATACTCATGTATACTTTAAAAGCATGTTTAGATGATTTTACTATGGCACCGAATATAGTGAAAATACTGACTAACTAATTTTCACACTATTTAGGAAATAAGTGTCAAAAAAAGAAGAGTCTCCATTTAAAAAATAAATTTTCCTCTCATCTTGAGTCCATCAGTGGTTGACTTCACTGTTACAGAACCTGAAGATATGAAGGGCTGCTTTATTTCGCACTAGACCTGGACTTAAATGTGTGTTTCGTTCACCTTGTAGTTTATAAGGACAGTTTCCTGTCATATCAGAACCACTGTGTGCTTTTCACTGTCTATTGTTCCTCTGAGATTCTCAACTGAATTAATCTTCTCCGTCTTTAAGTATTGTATCTAAACACCTTTAAATAGTACCTGGTTAGTCAGTCAGGTTTTGCTTACAGCCTTGAAAATGAGGTTGAAAAATGTGTATGCTGCTTAACAGGTGAAAACTTGAGTACTGTTTCTTTTGGATGCCAAGGGCTGAGTGACCCAAGTGACTGTTGAATGTCAGTTTGTTTTAGCTCTCAAGACCAACTGAAATGTTATGCAGCATTTTAATTTTTTTTTTTTTTTTGTATGTGCGTGTAGTGTGTTTTGGGGTGGTTCATCTGACACAGCTTCTACAGGAGGTTAGGGGCTCCAGCCTCGTTTTCACCTTCCACTTTGTGTGAAGGGAGAACCTCTCTTGTTTGCACTGCCCTTTCTACCCCAGGTTTGTGAGCTTCCAGAGGATTCTCCTGTGTCCACCTCATCTCACCATAAGAATGGTCAGGCTCCTGACACCTCCTGCCATTGCGTGTATACCAAGACCACAGACTTAAGCATCAGGCTTGCAGGCCCCTCCTGACACTTTCATTTACCGAGTCATGTCTCTGGCCTAACATTTTTAACATGATTTCAGAATTCCCCACTTTTTTAAGGTCATCATGAAAATCAAAATCATGATTATTTTATATGTTTGTGTTGGGTAGGTAGGTGGCTGTTGGGTGAATCTTGGATATTGCTCCTTGTTCCTGAGATAGGGTTTCTTAAAGGGGCTTTTTGATGAGGATGTGCTACTGGCCAGTGAGCTTTACAGACTGTTTCTGTCCCCCACTTTCACTTGTGCAATCTACCCAGACCTATAGATGTTTTTAGGTCAGGGTAAGAATATTTTTATTAAGTGGTCCTTGCTATCATATATACATGACAAAGAATAAATCAAAGATTGGTGAAAACTGTTGATTACTGTCAGGGAACGTCTACTTTAAGAACCCTGAATTCTAGTAATTTACTAAAAAAACTTTTGATCTATGTTGTAATTAGTTTAAAATACTCATTTACATTTGTTATAGGAACTTTTGGTTGAAAAATTCCGTGATCCAGAAATGTACTTTGACATCTGCAGCTGTCAGTTTGCTTGCCATTACTCCTTTGAGTCCTTGGAGCAGGCTGATACGATGCTGAGAAATGCCTGTGGAAGGCTTCACCCTGGCGGCTATTTTATTGGTACCACTCCCAATAGCTTCGAACTGATGTAAGTAACTTGAATCCAGTTAAAATGGGTCAGGTACCTTTAAGATTGTATCATGTGCTTTTTCACATGCATGATATGATTGATAGGATAAAAAATATTAATCATAATTCTTTTATTTTGGTTGTGGAATAACCCAATAGAAGACGCCTTGAAGCTTCAGAAACAGAATCATTTGGAAATGAAATATACACTGTGAAATTCCAGAAGAAAGGAAATTATCCTTTATTTGGCTGCAAATATGACTTTAACCTGGAAGGTGTTGTGGATGTCCCTGAATTCTTGGTCTATTTTCCATTGCTAACTGAGTAAGAATGTCTTGATCTGTTGCTTTTTCTTTCCCCTCATCCCTGTCCTAAGGGGACAAAATTCATGTTGCTATTCATATTGTATTTTAAATGCAACCTCAAGAAAAAGCCTTAGCTGCAGAATTGGTGTTCACTTTAAGTAACTCTTTCATAAGGAAGGGAGCCAGCTGCTTCTGTAACTGACCTCACAGGTAGCAAACACAGCTTTGGAAATATAAAGATGAATTCATAAGTCCAAGATCTTCTTTTTGAAAGAGATTATCCAAAGTTTGTATTTCAGTATAGCTTTGAAATTGCCCATGGAACAGACTAGTGGGTTTTTTTGTTTTTCTTTTTCTTTTTCCTTATCTTTCTTCTTTTGAAACGAGGTCTCAGACTATATGTAGCTTTGGCTGTCTAGAAACTTGCTGTGTAGACCAGGCTGGCCTTGGGCTAACAGAGCTCTACTTGCCTCTGGCTCCGTGCACCACCATGCCCAGCTTCATACAGGTTGATTATAGAGTCCTGAGTCCATGGTGTATTCCCCCATGCACATTAATTCTTGAGAATTCTGGTGAGCTGCAAGCATAGGAAAAGTTGAAGGTACTGGATGTTATCGTGTGGCTTCAAGACTTTGTGATAATATACCTTAATCTGCAGGATTTCCCTGCCAGGAGAATATAATAAAAGCCAACTTAGATGGAGGTTGTATACAGATGATGAAATTTCATTTCGTACTTTTTGAAAACAAACATCTTCTATTTTGAATAATAACTGAGGAAGCAGGAGGGGTTTTGCTCACCCAGATTTGGCTGGTGAGTATTTTAATCTAGACTCAGTCATCTTGTAACACTGTAAAACAGGATTTTCACAAGTCAGTGCAATGTAAGGCCTCGTGCCAGGTACCATGGCTGAGCCTCATAGTTCTGTGCTTAAGAGACTCATACAGGAGAACTACTGTGAGTTTGAGGCTATCCTGGGCTACAGTGTAAGACTGTCTCAAAACAAGGAAAGAAAGTAGAGAGCTGGAGAAAGAGGGAGGAAGGGCAAGAGGAAATTAAGTAACAAGTCACAACAGGACATGAACATACCATACAGTGTTACAGATGCAAGCTGCTTACAGAAGTTAACATTGTAAATCATTGTGCTTTCTATTTTAAAATGACTGGAAAAAGATTGTCCTTTAACTTCATAAAAGAAGAAATTTGTTTTTTTTTTTCATCTGTCTCCTGTGTTAGCTTGATGTTTCAGCATAACAATTAGTAGCCAACAAGATAAAACAGAATAATATGAAGACTGTTGTTCAGTGCTGAGCAAACGGAGCATTATTCTCTACTTAAATTGTTTGAACATGGTAAACTTAGAAAGTTATAGATTCATTCTTTAATATATAATTATTTTTATATCATTAATTTTTTTGAGAATGTCATGTAGGAGTTGCAATTTTAATCAAATCTCCCCCTCCACCCCTCCCTCCCATATCCACTTCTTCCCCTGTTCTTCCCACATCCTCCTCACAAATTAATGTCCGTCTCTGTTGTTGTTATTTAAGTCCAGTTAGTGTTGCCCATACCTTCCTGGCTTTTCCCTATTGTATTTTGTGTTGGGACCTAGTCCAACACTGGAGTTAGTTTGTTGCTTGAGTGTTTGATATGAGTCGTCTTCTAGTCAACCTATGTTAAGTAGGAATCGGTTTCTCCCTTTGTGTTAACTAAACTTTCTTGATTTCAGCTTAAGTAGGAGCAGCTCATAGTTCTGTTAATTAGTTAGTTTGGTTTTTGACTGGTGAGGCTCAGGTGATTCCAATATAGGTTTTTCAATAGATTAATTATGTTCAATGTGTGTGATTGCTTCAGTGAGGTCCCTGGACAGGTTCAGGTGTGCCTGAGGCGTCCAGACACTAACAGAAGCGTAGGCCAGTGCTGGGTGGAATTCTGGAGTTGAGGAGAGTAGAAAAGGGGCAGTGTGTCATGTTGGGGGGCAAAGAGAGTGGCTCTCATTGTGGGAAGCTGAGGAGACACACCATAAAAAATCTGCTTGTGTTCCTCCTTTCTGGGGGTGAGTCAAGGGAAGGGCAATGTGGGTGGGATGAGAGGCACAATAGTTTTACCAAGAAAATGCATGGCTATAGCCTAATACATCATTTTTTAAAATGTATTTATTTGTGTAAGCATTTGGTGATGTAAATGTTAAATCTAAAAAATGTTGAGGATGAGCTTCTTGTTACTTAATTAAGAAACAAAACAACAATGTAGTTAACTTATTGAAAAGCCCATTTGAATTGCACAAATTGGGTTTATTTTTAATGAATTTTTTCCCCATTTTTGCGTACAACTTGCTTTTGTTTCTAGTGACTTGTCTTGGAGATGGATTGTAATTGGGCTTCCTTGAATAAAAGAAATACACATGTTCATACTGTCTATCCAAGAAGGGCTAGCTCAGATAACAATACAGTCTTAAGAGTGTGTCTTATGCAGTGTCCAGGGTCAGGAACCTCTGACATCCCTTCGGCCTTCTTTCCTCATCTATCCCCTCCTACTCAAGCCTTGTGTCATATTTATGTTTGTTTGTTTTTCCTTTACCCACTGCCTGCAATGTCCCCAGGCTACTTCATATTGCGAAGGGTTGCATCAACTTAGTAAATGTGGGAGTGTTAGCAGGAGGCAGGAGAGAACTCTGCAGACAGCTTTTAAGTTGAATTGGATGTGGATGTAGAAGACAGGAAGGCTGGCTGTTCCTACAAAACTCGGGAAGTGGGAAAGGCTAAGAAGAGGAAGGAAAACTAGTGGGGCTGAATCAAAACACACCTGCTAGTAGAAGGCAGTATCCCTGAAAAGAATAGCTCAGAGACCATGCTGATGGCTTTGGGATTATACTCTGGAGCCGAGTAAATGGTACTGAGAAGGGTAGTAGTTCCTTTGTATATCTGCAAGCTTAGTCTGACTGTACCTGGAAAGTTCACTGAGGGAGAGTAGGACTGGAAGCAGGGCATGGCCATGCAGGATGGCAGTGAGTGAATACGGTAAGAAGTGAACACGATGTGGGTGAGAGGAGAACTCTGATGCACTGACCGCAGGGACTGCAGAAGAAGGGAGATGGAGTCGCTGCAGTGAGGAAAACAGGCAGAAGGCAGTCTCGTAAGGTTCAGTCTTAGGATGAGAAGTTAGAGGGTCCGACGTATCGGGGCGAGAGTGAATGAGCAGTGATCACAAAAAGTTGAATCCCAGACAGCTTCCAACTTTCCATGCAGCTGGTACAGAGAAGTAAATAGAGTCTGGAACAAACTTTAAAGCCTTAATGTTTAGAAGTTGGGAAACCTATAAAATAGTCTGCAGAGAAGCCATCCAAGATATTCTTTTGATAAAAATATATTTATCTTACCAGAGAATGCAGGAGATGAAAATACTTTACAAAAAAAGCCGCATCATTTGCAGCTCTGGGGATGCAATGACAGCAGAACTCTTGGGAAAGTGCTCTGTATGCCCCTTTCTCCCGTGACCTTTTTGCCACACTAGAGGAAGACCTGTCTGCAAGCTTATAGATGTTTAGATTGCTTCTTTCTTCATAGGCATGAAAACTGTTACTTAAACTTTATTTGTATTATTCCGTTCAACATAAGTAAATAGCTTTTTTAATTAGACCCAGATGTCACTGCTATCACTTCAAAAGTAAATTATATGAGAAGGGGCCAGAGCGATGGCTCAATGGGGAAGACCCACGTCATGGAAAGAGAGAGCCAGAGCTCATAGGTAAGTTTTAAACAGATTACAAACATCTGAAAGCGTCTCCATTAATCTTTTTGGACAGAATGGCAAAGAAGTATAATATGAAGCTAATCTATAAAAAAACATTTCTGGAATTCTATGAAGAAAAGATTAAGAACAATGAAAACAAAATGCTCTTAAAACGAATGCAGGCCCTGGAGGTAAGTATACAGAGGACGTATAAAGATTCTAGGACATGGTGAATATGTTCGATGTTTTGGGTGTTTCCCGCAGTTCTTCAGACTTGCGTAGTTAGATGTACTGTGCAGGTTATGGTGCTGTAGATGCTCTACCTTCCCCGACAGAGGCTGATGCAGACTCTCCCTAGTGGATGGCAGTGGTGGTGTGTCCCTGCTGTGACGGGCATGTTTCTGGGTAAACTTGAGACATCCCTGTCTACAACAGTTCTCTGTGACTAGGTCAGCAGTTTAGGGCCCTCCTGGCTAGGGCCTAGGGCACAAGTACATAGACCAAGGTACAATTTTGTTCTGTGGTGACTCTGGTGACAGCTTAATAATTTGTCATATACTGAGCCTAGGACTGTCTAACTCCTTGCTTGTCTCAGTAAAGCAGTGAGAGGCTGCAGTCATTGGAAGCTTTCCTTTTTATTACGCAGATAGAAGGTTTCAGTGTGCCTGTAACTTGTAAGAACTTAAGACAGTCCATTGAATTTAGAATATTAATATTCTTTTCTTATTTTTTTGTTTTTTCTTTGTTTTTTTTTTTTGTTTTTTGTTTTTTGTTTTTTTTGAGGCAAGGTCTCATTCTGTGGTACTAGTTGGCTTAGAATTCATTATGTAGAGCAGATGGCCTTCAAACTTGAAGTGGTCCTCTTTCCTCCTCCGCCTAGCCTACACGTGCAAGGTCCATCAACTTAGAATATTCCTTTAAGTACCTGAAGCCTAGTCTGTTGTGCTTATATTCAACTGGAGAAAGAAGCAAAGCAGTCACTGTTTTTCAGTGTTTACTCTGTCAAACTTATAAATTGCTGTGAGGTCTCTTAACTGAATTTGCATTTTTCCATAGCCATACCCTGCAAATGAGAATTCTAAACTTGCCTCTGAAAAGGTGGGTGACTACGCACATGCAGCAGAGTACATGAAGAACAGTCAAGTCAGGTTGCCTCTGGTAAGTTCCAGCTTTGACAGCCAGAACAAAGGATCGTGTGCTGTGTGGAGACCTTGCTTATTTTACTTGTTTACAGTGTTTGGGCTTACTGGATTACAAATTTGGCAAGTGATAATCTGTTTTCCCTTAGTTGTGCTGACTTTTGATGCTGTAGGACATAAACTGTTTATTTCAGTGAGTAGCATACAGAGCTTTTTATGAGGCCGCCAAGGGTGGGGGAGTCACAGGCTTGGATTGCATGATCCTTGCTAATGCAGGGTTCCAGAGACAGGATTCCAAGCTCTGTGCACTTGAGTGGGAGATGGGAGAGTAGTAAATTTTCATTTGTATTGACGTTTCATGCAGACTCTTGGTTTTAAAAAAAATTACACATGATGATAAGACAAGCTATACTAGTCCCAATGAAGATTGCAGACATTTCCATTGTCATCTTAGAATTTCCTTCACTCATAATTTCTTCAAATTTACATTAGGTTCTAGAACTAGATCTTATAAAGTGAGTGTCCTGTGCAAAGCTGCACATACCTTGTGGTTCTTTGGTAAAATGCAGTGTTGAGGTTTTCATTTCTGAGTTACAGGTTTAAGGTAGATACTTGTTTCAGTTCTTACCTCTCCTCCCCAACCACTACTAGGCAGTGATATTAACTTCGTATAAGGAAATTTGTGTTTTCTTAATTTTGTTCATAAAGTTTTAGTCTTACTGACTGTTCTTAGATGTGTATATCTTAATGCTATGTGCAGTGTGTGTTCTTACAGTGAAGTTAGGAGGTTTGCTGCCTCTTTCCCCTATTAAAAAATAAGTGTCCATTTACTTCTGTATTGACTCTGAAGTTTTCTTTCTTCTGTGATTTTAGGGAACCTTGAGTAAATCAGAGTGGGAAGCTACAAGTGAGTATAGCATCCAGCTAACTGATCATTTCAGTGATTCTGTGTTATACTATCATTAAAACTTGAAAACGATAAGAATTTTCCTGATGTGTTTTGTATTTATGTGGATACATTGAAACATGTCACACACATCTCTGTAGTGATGAGAAAATATCTGTAGACTGTTATTTAACATACTTTCATGAGCATATTTATTTTCACTACATACTTGTTAATAAGAAGCTGCCTCTGTCTTCTCAGGATTCTGTTGAATTGTTTGGCTTATGCAGTACTTATATGGATATTGCTTAATTTGTTCATTCAGATATCGACATCAAATAGGGGACACAGGACACTAATCACAGCAGAGTAAGGAGGGCTCTTATGGAACATATGTTTGAAAACCAGTGTTACACAGACACATTCTGACACAAATGTGCTTTCTTCAGAGAAGAATTCACAGTCTGTGCAGAGTCCTGGGCTTCTACAGCAGGGTTCTGTAGAGGACTTCATTTGTAGGTCCTTAATGTTAATATGAAAGGATTCTAATCTTTCACATGGATGTCTTGAGAATCTGAACACAGCTCCTGCTGGCAGAGACATGCTATTTAATAAACATTGAACACTGACTTACAAAAGAAATCTTATGAAAGGACTTCGGGGGATTAAAGAGCAAACAAGTCTGCCTTCTAGAGTTCAGTGGAAGACACAGACGAACAGTATTAACTGTTTAGTTAAATGCTGAAGAGGGGAAAGGTAGATGAAGAGTTGAAAGTTAGATCTTCAAACTAGCAAAATCTGAGAAGTACTACTGTTACTGAGTGTTCAGTAGTATCTGGACTTTGAATTATTTTGAGTTTCAAATTGTGTATCTCAAATCAGATTCTAGTGTTCTTAGTGTTTTGTTTTTAAATAAACTTAAATGATCCTATATCTACCCCTAAACCACTCAGATAATAGAACTTAGAGAACTAATGGTGTTTTTCTTTCTTGGTGCTGCCTGAGAACACTCCTCTGCTGGTATGAGGCACTGGACTCTGACTTCTTTTTCTTCTTTAGGTATCTACTTGGTTTTTGCCTTTGAGAAGCAGCCCTGAGCACGTCACTTCAGAGCAGCGGCAGACCATCTCAGAAACATTTGACAGCTGTTTGTTTATTTTAATAGTAAGTTCTAAATGTGTAGGATGCTGCCACAAAGTCCAGTGTATAAATTTGACATTTACTGTCTGTGACAGGTTAGCATAATGTGTGTATATAAGGATGAGTCATCTTTAAGATCTATTTTTAAGTAATGTTGTAAGAATTGTTTCCCTCTACTGTCAAAACTATAGCAAGGCATATCAGAGCAACTGACCTCCAGTGCTGTGATTTGCTGAATGTGTTTACAAAGCTGAATTTACAATAACTGTAGAATTGGCAAAGGAACGCTAGGTTGCCACTGTGCACTCATTTCAAGTTTTGTTACAGTGTTTTTCAAGATTTAATGGATTGTGTTCTATATACTTGAATGTAAGTGTTCCATATATACTGCTAAAGTTATAAGATAAAATTTTGATTTTAGATTGTTATAAGAGCTACCTGACTAGATTTTGACTGTGTTTCAATAAAATAACTATTTGTTAATACACTGCAATTCTGAGACTCTATAGAAAAATTTAGATGGCAGCATAGAGTTAATGCGGAGTGGTTTGATATTCTCTTTAGAATTTCTTACCATAGCAATTAGTGTATCTAATTATTGAGGTTGTGATTAAGGTACCATTAACTGTCTTCATTGGACAGTGATTCCATGGCTAGATTTTCTTAAGACTTTGTGAAAATGCCATGCCCTAGTTCTGTTCCATGATGTTTTCAAATGGATGTGTGCATGTGCAATGGGAGCAGCCCAGTGAGACACATTTTAGATGGATCCTCGCCAATAAGAGAGCTCACTTACTAATGCTGTATCCTTCCAGGTCCCAAACACGCAACCCCTGCCTGTCTTCCAAAACATTGGGACTCCATAAGGCAGACCCCAATGTCTAATTGTCTTTCAAACATTCACTATTGAGGTGTTAATGGTATAGTAGTTGGCATGGCTGCCTTCCAAATGTTGACTTGCTGTCTCACAGCCATCATGATTATCATTGTCAGTTAGAGACCTGACTTCTAGAACTGAGGCCAGCCTTTAAATGCATCAAGAAACTTAAGAGCAAATGCAATTATACGTTTGTTTAAAAATCGCCTACTGAAAAGACAATTTACAAAGATGGTACTTTCTTTAAAAATCTGTAGTACTTGCTTTAAAAGTAGGCTCAGGGCTGGAGAGATGGCTCAGTAGTTAATAGTCCTGGCTGCTCACGGAGAAGACCCAGGTTCAGTTGCTAACACCTACATAGCAGCTTACAACCATCAGTAACTCCAGTTCCAGGGGATCTGACATCATCTTTTGGCCTCCCTGGGCACCAGACATGCACATAGTACATATGCATACATGCAGGCAGAATATACACACATATAAAATAAAAATATTTTTAAAATTAAAAACATAATCTAGTTTATATATAGTCACTGTTCTAAGTATTAGAAGGTAGGTTTGGTTCTGGTGCAGGGGTTGTGGGATGGGGAAGAACGTTCTTACTCTTAGAAATGTAGACTCATTTTATTCCTGGGGAAGTACCAGTAAATGTTTTGATGATGTGGCGTAGGGAAAGCTTCATCACAATTCATGATCTTAGTTAACAGGTGATGCATCATTTTTAGTCTCTGCCCTTTCCATTCCATCCCATGGGTCATTTTTAGGAGAGAAGAATTCCTCAAAGGGTGGAATAATTGATGGCTATCCCAAGCAGCAAGAAGAGAAATGTGGAGTTCCTAGGCCCTTCCCTGAGGACTCAGAGAAAACTGGCCTGGGTCTGAGATGGGCTCTAGTCGTTATACCTACTGTCAAAGACATAGGAGAGTTCCCATGATGTCACCCTGCAGAAACAGTTCAAGCAGCTGCCTTTTTCCTTTTGTGTTGTTCTTATCTCTTGAACCTCCATCCCTCCACCGCTCCTTGCAGAAGTTCAGTGACTCAGGATGGATTCTTGAGGACAAGAATGGGAAGGTGGCCTTTTCCATTGTTTCTTTCAACAAATAAGACTTTGCCCAGCATTCTTGGAACCTGAATGTTTAATTTTGTCACGACTTGTAGTACCTGATGAGAAAGGTGTGGCTTTTCATTGCAGCATCCAGAAAGAGTCACTTCTCTTGGGTTCAGTGATGAAAATGGTTCAAATGAGCTGTTCAGATACACCCAGGCTTGCCACTCAGTGTATGCTCAGGTTGTTTCCAACAGGGACTGGAGACATGGATCACAGGTTAAGAGTACTTGCAACTTTCAGAGAACTGGAGTTTGGTTCCCAGCACACACATAAAGTGGTTTAGAACTACCTGTACCTCCAATTGCAGGGACTTCAGCATTCTCCTCTAGTCTCTGCTGGCCCCTGCACATACATGCAGATACCTACACATAAATAAAAATCTTTGGCATGATGATCATGTGGGCCATTTTTGGGAGTGACACAACCTGAACTGGTAGTTGGCTTGGGGACAGAGCTGCACTGCAGTAGGATCCAGAATGCTGACATGGGGTTGTTTGGGTCTAGCATTTCCTCAGGGGAACAGGCCAGTGTATAGTGTTGATGGAGAGAAGCTGAGGGGTTGTCATTCCTTCCCCATCCTTCTGGTAACCTAACCTGTACAGAGAGCCTCAAGCCTGTCAGCTTGCGCACACACCACTTCAGTGTCCCTGAGCACTTTAGAGACCTCTTCTCCGTAAGAGAAGACTGAGTAGAGTCACTGAGTAATGGACCTGTCTGATGACTGAATGGCAGAGAGATGATACAGATTTCTCAAGAACAGAGTCACATTAACACTTCTACTCTGTAGTGGGCCCTAAGTCCTATGTTCACATACTTCCAAGGGTGTAACAGGTAGTCCCTGCAGCTTTGAGTGTTAATTAAAGTTCCCTTTTGACTGCTATTTCATCCATAACTGCCATCCATTTCTAAGTGAAACCCATTTCATCTGGCTTGGAATATTATGTGAATAAAATTAAAAATATACCCTTTGGCTTTCACTTGATAGTGTTCATGAGATTTTTATTCTCAATAGGTGTACATTGTTCGTTCTCATGATTGTACAGTATGTCATGTATGAATAAACAACATTATACAGTGGTGGTTTGATTCATTTCTAGCTTGGGAGCTGTACTACCACAGTTACCTAGGAAATGAGTTTTTGTGCAGGTAGTCACATTTCCTCTAGGAATAAGATTCCAGAGTCATGATACATATGCCAATTTATGCTCATTATCAGCTACCCAGAAGCTTCTGGAGTTCAATTATCCTACATTCTTGATAATGTCAACTGGGGTTTGAGTGAGAATGGAGGCTGGAATACATGTTTGAATGCTTGGGTCCCTAATAGAATTAGAGGTAAAGAAGAGGTATTACAAGGGGCACCAGTAAAATTCAGGGGTTGTAAGAACACACACCAAAACCCATATTCTAATAAATTGGAAAGGCTAAAAGAAATGAATGAATTTCTTAGTGCATATGACCTACCGAAGTTAAACCAAGAAGAGATTTTTTTAAAGTTATACTGTTAGTCCTGTCAGGCATCATACTCTTTCTGTCTGATGGATCACGGGGTGTACAACAGCATCGCCTCCAGAGTACTGGGTACTCTGTACTCCACATCAGTAGTTTCCTTAGTTCTCCTGTTGAGTGAGCCATACGTACTAAAACAATTTCTGAAGAATTGATGATTTTATGTGTGTGGCTGAAGCTGTTGATTCTTGAACATGTTAGAATTGACACTGAAACATTGTTTAAGAAATCTCCCATCCAAAGCAAAAAGCCCAAGCCAGGACTGATTTCCCATAGAACTTTACCAGAATCTCAAAGAAATAAAACCAGTGTCCCGTGAAACAAGGAAATTATACCTCCAAATACTTTTTATGAAGCCAGAATGACACTGAGCTAAATACACATAATAAAATTATAGAGCAAGCTAGCTCCTTCATGAGCATAGATGAGAAAATTCTGAAAAGAATGAGTATGAACCATTTTTAGAATATGCCCACTATGATTAATCAGTTTCCTCTTGGAGATCGGGTGGTTCAGCATATGTAAGTCAACAACTGTAATGTACCACATAAATAGACTTGAAGGACATAAGTCACATGATCGTCTCATGCAGAAAAGACCACTGGAAAAATCTAATACTCCTGGAAAATCCAGGAATACAAGGAATATAGCTTAATAAGGCAAATAGACAAAACACCACAGGCAACATGCTAAATGGAGAAAAACTTTTCTACTAAAGTCAGGAAATCATCCTTTGAGCTACTGTTCCAAATAGTACTTGAGATTGTAGTTAGACCAATAATCCAAGAGAAGGTAATGAAAGATACAAGTAGGGAAGGGAGAAGTCAAAATATTCTAACTTGCAGATGATTCTATACATAAACTCCCAAGAGTCCACCAGCAAACTACATTGCAAAGTGGCAGGATACAAAATTTTAGCACAGTAATTACTAGGCTTCCTAGATAGCAATAACAACAAGAAATCGGAAGCAATTCTATTTAAAACAGCTACTCCATCGCCACCCCCATATTGAATAATCACAGAAGTAGAACAGTGTACAGTGAAAACTTTCATGGAAAAAAATTACACTTAGAAGGTGGGAAAACTGCTTATGCTCATGGATTTGTAGGATTAATATGAAAATGCCAAAAGCAATCTACAGTTATAATGAAATCCCAAACAACTGAAAAGATAAATTCCATGTGGGCACAGAAAAAAACAAAAACTTCCAAGATGGCTAAACAATCCTGAACAGCTGCTGGAGGTAACACTATAGTAACAAAAATTGTGTTATTGGCAGAAAAACATTCATTGATAATAGGATAGAGCTGAAGAACCAGACAATCCCGTCTTGGAGGTACCTGGTTTTTAAGTTTTGAGTCCAAAAGAAGAATACATTGGGGGAAAAAGGCAGCAGCATCAATTGTTGACAAACTTGATAGCTATATGTAGAAGAATACAACTAGATTGTTGCCCTCTATCCTGCACAAGACTAGTGGACCAAATGGACCAAAGATACCTTGAATCTGTTAGAGGAGAAAGTAGGGAATACACTCCAACTTACGGGTGCACCTAAGGACTTTCTGAATAGGCCCATGAATTAAGACTAACAATTGACAAATGGGACCTCAGGAAACAAATACTTGTAAAGAACTTATCAACAGTGAATAGGCAGCCTGCAGAGTGGGGGAAAATACCAGCTATATATTTGATAGTCAAAATCTAGACAAAACTAAACAGTAAGAAAACACATAACTTGTTAAAGTTCTCAGAAATACGAGTGGCTAGTAAAAATTTCTTAAAACCTTTAACATCCTTAACCATCAGAAAAATGAAAATTAATACTACCTTGAAATTTTATTTTACCCCAGCCAGGGTTGACTGATCTTAAAACAAACCAAAACAAATCTACAAAAGGCAGCAAGTGCTGGTGTGATTATGGGGTAATGGAAATACTCGCTGTTAGGAGTGAAAATTGGTGCAGCCACTATGGACATTAGTATAGATGTCTTCCCAACACTTAAGTGTAGATCTATGACAGGACCTAATTGTACTCTTCCTGTCTATATACATGAATGATTATATTTTATACAGAGATGCTTCTTCCTCACTCTTTGGTGCTGCTCTAATTACAATAGCCAAAAAATAAACACAGCCCCAATGTTCATCAACTAGTGAATAGATAAAGAAAATGTATTATATCACTGAAATATTCTGCTTTAATGAAAGATAAAATTTGCAGGTAAATGGATGGAGCTGGAAGCAGTCATACTGAGTGAGCTAATTCAGATCCAGAAAGAAACACTGCATTTTTTTTTCATATGTGGATCTAGCTTTCCTTCTTTAGATATGTGTGCCTAAATTAGAGTACCTGTAGAAGTCAGGAGGCTAGAAAGCCTTGGGATTTCAAGAGCAAGATAGTAGAACACAGGAACATAAAGAGGGAAAGGGGAGTTAGAGGCAGAAAGTGTTAAGTGGAGTGAGGGATGGGAGGGCAGGGTCAAGGAGGGCATACAGCAAAGAATAACCAACTCTTAACGTCCTTTGGAAAAAGCCACATGAAAACCAACTATTTTACAAACTTCTTAAACTATATACACATACATGTATAAAAGTTTAGATGGAGTTACCATTTATGGGGGAATAATGTTTCCACTGTATGGCATAGGCTATCACATACAACAAAATCCAATGACAGGTTTATCCTACCTTTTTCTACTTATTGGTCAATGGGGTCTCACAGACCCCACAAAACTTCAAAAGCCATTACTATGGTTTTAATTGTCTGAAGAACTTGAAGGTAAGACCATCATATTTCCATCATTTGGAAGACATCCCATACTCAAGTAATAGAACATGGGAAAAGCAAGCCAGTATCCACCTGGAAGCTTCATGTCTATTGGCTAGCTTTCATAGAGTAGTGTGTGCTGGTGGAGAAAGATAGTCAGCGTTCTTACACAGTTGAGAGTTCTACAAGCTATGATAGCAACCAGCTTGACAAGACTTGTCCATCGGTACAATGGAGACATGAATGGCATATGAGTTAGCAACTACTTTCTGATTAAACATGAGGTCAGCTCCACAAGGCAGAACTCATGCCTGGTAATAATGTTATTGGGTCAAGAGCTCATAGCCAAATAGATGATAGGCCCTGCTATGGCCTGCTACTGATATTCTACTAAATGGAGATAGTGTCAAAGTGCTCTCTAAATACTGTTTTTTATTTATGCCTATAAATACAAGGATGGTTCAATATATGTAAATCAAAGTGCAATATAGTATATAAATAGACTCAAAGAATCAAAGAAAAATCACTTGATTTTCCTAATAGATGCAGACGACTTTTGGGAAACCCCCCAATATCTTTGTAGTAAAATGTCTAAAGACACTAGGACTACAAGGAAACTACATCAACATAATAAAAGCTATACATTACAGGCTTGTAGTCAGCATTATATCATATGGGGAAAATCTCAAAGAATTTCCACTAAAATCAAGAACAAGAGTGACTGCTTTTCTCCATTCTGATTTCATACAATACTTGAGGCCTCAGAACAGTAAGATAAAGATATAAAAAGGATACAGATTTTTAAAAGATTTATTTACTTATTTTTATGTATATGAGTACACTGTAGCCGTCTTCAGACACATTAGAAGAGAACAACGGATCCCACTACAGATGGTTGTGAGCCACCATGTGGTTGCTGGGAATTGAATGCAGAACCTCTGAAAGAAAAGCCAGTGCTCTTAACCACTGAGCCATCTCTCCAGCCCCTGATACAGATTTTTTTTTAAAAAAGAGAAATCAAATTATCCTGTTTGCAAATGATGCACTTGTATATGTAAGAGATCCTAAAGAATCTGGATCCAGATTAAAAAAAAAAAAAACCACACAGCAAAGTGACAGTATATGAGATTAACCTATCAAACCCAGCAGCCTTCCTGCATAACATTAAAAAAAAAATCCCATAATGAAACCTGGGGGGACTGGAGAGATGGCTCAGTGGTTAAGAGCACTGACTGCTCTTCCAGAGGTCCTAAGTTTAATTCCCAGCAATCACTTGGTGGTTCACAACCATCTGTGATGGGATCCAATGCCCTGTTCTGAAGACAGCTACAGTCTACTCACATACATAAAATAAATAAATAAATCTTCTTTTAAAAAAATTATCTGGGAAACAATCCCATTTGCAACAGACTAAAAAAATACCCCAAAATGTACCTAAGCAAGGAAGTAAAAGACCTACGCAATGAAGCATTTAAAACACTCAAGAAAAAAGTTGAAGACATTAGAGAATGGATCAGCATATTGAGAAAACGACTATAATATTAAAATCAATCTACAGATCCATTGCAATTCCCATCAAATTTCTAATAATATGCATCACAGAAATTAAAACCAACCAACCAACCAACAAACATGAAAGTACAAAGACCCTGGATAGCCAAAGCAATCCTAAGCAAAAAAGAACAATTCTGGATGTATTACTATGCTTGGCTTTAAGTTATAATAACTTTAACTTCAGCAGCATCTTGAAGGAACCATTCCCGGAGCAGGGTCCCTCAGCTGGGCTGCAAATCCCAGTCAGTGCTTCCCAGTGTTAGAAACTTGATCTTGCTATATACCCTCAGTTTCCCTCCCTCTCTCCGCCTCTCCCCGTCCCCCTACTCCCAGCCGGGAATGACAAAAGCAGTCACTTGCTGTAGTTAAAAAAAAAAAAAAGATTAAGAAAAACAGTTCAGTGCAACTGCACACAGCACCTGCATGTTGCACTCACATGTCCACCCGTCCGCGCCTGGGGGACCACATAACTGGCTTTTGTGAAGACTCCACTTTCAGCACTTTATTGTGAAGTCTGCATCTTTGGCAGATCCCTCTCTGATCTTGGAGATGGGGACTCATTGGATAATACTTAGATTGTAGGGTGTTTTCTGCCAGCCTGTCTCTTTCACACATAAAGAGGATTAGTCTGAATTTAGGAAACCTCTTCACAGATTTCAAAGATTGCCTTTTCCCATGACACGATGACTCCCTCCAAAGCCTGTATTTTCTGTCTATCTCTTCTCCCCCAGTCTCTCTGTCTCTCAGTCTCTGCCTGTCTCTGTCTCTCGGTGTGTGTGTGTGTGTGTGTGTGTGTGTGTGTGTGTATGGCCGAATCTCAGTAGAGCCTCCAGGCTCTGGCTTTTCCAAAGAAGTATCAGGCACAATGGTGAGTCACTGTAGCGGAAAGACAAAGAACAAGGCAGATCAGTTCTTTGAACTGGGCAGAATTTTAATCGGAGAGTTAAAAGAAAGGGGCGGGGCGGGGGAAAGACAAAGAGAATCATTAGCTGGAAAATCCATCTGTGCGCACCTAGGGAGAAAGATTTGTTAAATTGGAAGCACTTCAGAGCTAAGGGCTGTGCTTTGCAACAACCTAGTGGCCTGCCACTAGGTGGCGCTGCAAACACGACTCCTGTGCTCCCAAGCTGGTGGCTGCAAGTTGCTGGAGACCTGAACTCAGAAGTCCGAGAGGCGGTGATCTGGGGGGGGGGGCGGAGGCTGTTTAAAGGCAGAGTGCTGAGGTGCTAGTTTAGGAGGAGACTGCGCCCTGGCGATGGCCCTACTCTCTCGCCGAGGTCCGCCCAGGTGGACATCAGGTGCCCAGGAAGAGCGAAGCGTCCAGTGAGGGCGCCTGGGCCGGATGCAAGACCAGATCCCGGTACCAGATACAAGTCCCAGAAACCGCCTGGAACCCGTGAGGCATCATGCTTACCTTTGCGTGGAGCAGAGCAGAATGGGTGAGCCAGCTTGTGCTGAGAGATTTTTAAGGCAGCTGCTGGATGGTGTGTTTAATGCAACAGTAGAACGGGTCTATCTATACCTCTGAGGTGTAGACGTATTGTAAATGATTACAATCTGATAGTTTTACCTCATTGCTAAAACGATGGCTCTCTGAATGTGTCTTGTTCTAACATTTCATAACTATTTCCTCATACCGTGTTTGCATGGAACTTATAAAAATAGCATTCAGACTCAGTGAAGTTCAGACCATTCAGAATTCAAGGAAAATATTTATTGAGGGAAAAATACTGTTTTTTTTTTCTGTACTTAACGTACTGCAAAGTAAGCTTATCTATCTGAGACAGTAACTTTGTATTTATGCTCAAGCTAAAGCGATCCCTTTGCTATAGTCCTTTATGACCCCGGAGAGGATGAGCTGAGGATTTGAGAAGAGTACTGGCTAACGATAAGAACACAGATTAATCTGCCTTCCTTAATGGAATGTTTATATGTTCTTCAGAAATCTGGGCTCACTTGAGCTAAGTACAATGCGGTAGCATAAAAATGTAAAAATCTGGAGACTGCCTGGGACTATTTATGGAGTTTGGATAGGGTTCGGGGGATGTTCTGAGAGTGAACTTAAGAGCCAAAAATCAGACATGGAAAGAGAAGTTGTACTTTGCATAAAAATGGAAGCTCCCCCCCAAAAAACAAAAAACAAAAAACAAAAAACCCTGTAAGCTAACTGTGACAGAATGTGAAAACTTAGGCTTGTATTAGTTAGAGGCACAGAATTCCAGGCACCAGGAGCACATGTCAGAACAAAATAAAGCAGGGTCACCCCACCCCAGTATACCTGTGTCTATCCACCCATTTTTGTAAGTGCACTTGGTTTTGGTACGGTAGCACATTCTGTGCTGTGGTGTATACTCTTGAGATCATAATAACAACGGCAAACAAACCTGTCTTACAGTAAATCTGAAGCCAAGAAGTAGAGGCATTTTCTTCCAGCAATGAACTCGTCTCACCTGACTTTATTGGATCTTACCCTGAACGCCTCGGAGGACAACATTTTAGGACCAAATGTCAAGAACAAGTCTTCAGCTTGTGAAGACGTGGACATTGCGGTGGAGGTGTTTTTGACTCTGGGTCTCATCAGCCTCTTAGAGAACATCCTGGTCATTGGGGCCATAGTGAAGAACAAAAACCTGCACTCACCGATGTACTTCTTTGTGGGCAGCTTAGCAGTGGCCGATATGCTAGTGAGCATGTCCAATGCCTGGGAGACCATCACCATATACTTGCTAAACAATAAACACCTGGTGATAGCCGACACCTTTGTGCGTCACATCGACAACGTGTTTGACTCCATGATCTGCATTTCTGTCGTGGCCTCCATGTGCAGTTTGTTGGCCATCGCGGTGGACAGGTACATCACCATCTTCTATGCCTTGCGCTACCACCATATCATGACAGCGAGGCGCTCGGGGGTGATCATCGCCTGCATCTGGACCTTTTGCATAAGCTGCGGTATCGTTTTCATCATTTACTATGAATCCAAGTACGTCATCATTTGCCTCATCTCCATGTTCTTCACCATGCTGTTCTTCATGGTGTCTCTGTATATACACATGTTCCTCCTGGCCCGGAACCACGTCAAGCGGATAGCAGCTTCCCCCAGATACAACTCTGTGAGGCAAAGGACCAGCATGAAGGGTGCCATCACCCTCACCATACTCCTGGGGATTTTCATTGTCTGCTGGTCTCCCTTCTTCCTTCACCTTATCTTAATGATCTCGTGCCCTCAGAATGTCTATTGCTCTTGCTTTATGTCTTACTTCAACATGTACCTTATACTCATCATGTGCAATTCTGTGATCGATCCTCTCATCTATGCCCTCCGCAGCCAAGAGATGCGGAGGACCTTTAAGGAGATCATCTGTTGTCACGGATTCAGGCGAACGTGTGGGCTCTTTGGCGGGTATTAAACACCAGCTCCTCTTGGTGGCTCTCATCTCCCAGACAATTAGGTTCAGCCAGGGTGTAAGCAAGGCTGCTAAGGATCTCAAAGTATTCCTCTTTATCTCCTTTGCAGCTCGGTTTGGTTATTTCGTGTTCAAAGCATGCATGTGTGAATCTTCTCCTTGGTGAGAATGGACTGTGACAATTGGTGACGATTTACTCCTTGCTCACTCTCTGCCCCCCATTCCATGTTTAGCAGGTTTCACCATCCTCTGCCTGATCTGGTAAGTGACCTGAGGAGATGCATAAACTCCTGGGTGAACTGTCCTCGAAAGAAACACTTCAGAGGCCTGTGTCACCATGAGTGGCCTTTGTGTTTGGCCACACGCTGCTCTCCACTTTTGCAGGATTGCACATTTTGCATTCTTTTCAGGAGAGACATCTGGTTCCTTTTCATTTGAGACTTCCATTTTATTTGCTATGGGTATCTCTATAGCTCTCCTATCCTAGACTTCTGGCTTATGGCTTGCATTCAGAATTGTCTGGGGACCCACCTTAACTACCTATACTTCTGTCCTTCATAGGTTTGGACTTACTCAGACATACACTTCCGTGCTAAACACCTTGCTCCCTGTTTTGTGAAAACCTCCATGTCTCTTGCTGTCTTATTTTTGACTCAATTCAGTATTTCCAAGAAATTTTGGGGCGGTCATATCGAGGACTCTAGGTACAAACCCACCCTCCCTCACTCCATTTAGCACATGCCCAGAGTCAAACTAGGTTGGCTGTCTCACACCTAGTCACCCAGCAGCTATCGGTGTCTGAAACTTCCTCACTAGATGCTTTGCAGCATGTTAGCCTGGCCCTAGCAATCATCAAAGGCTGGTACACAGCAAAGACATGCCATTTTCTCTAGTCTGGAGTGGAGGAAAGGGATGCAAGCTCAATCATTAACTCTGATGACATTGGCTGTGTGTCCTTAGTTCCACTCCAGGGTCCATATCTGTGCTAACCTCTCAGAATGGCCAAAAGAACTATCTGAAAAAAAATATGGGAGAATTTCTTGTAACATTTGAAAAACACATAGGAATTTTATTTTATTTTATTATTTTTTTTAGTTATTTAAAAGAACTGATCTGCAGGGGTGAGCTCACACATAGTAACGTGAAGGAAGGGTACAGGTATCAGTGGCCAGAGCAGTGTTTCGGATACCAAGACACTTGCTGTGCTCAACAGAGCCGAGTGGCCTTCTGGATCCCAGTGAAGATCACAAGGATAGAATAAGACACTGATCTTAGTGATTACAGTGCTAGTTTAGATGCCCAACTGTCACTAGTCTAATTCTCTGCTCTGGGTGCTAAGATGACATACTACAAATCTTGACCTTTATATTAGTGCATTTAAGAACACGCTCAACTGCATTTTAATCTCTATATAAATAAAATGGCCCTTGTGTTCAAACGTTATGTTTGGGAAAATATATGCCTGTAGTAACTTGTTACATTTATGCAAATAAGCCAACTTCAAAATGAAGTCTCCTTAACAACAACAAAAAAAGAATACACATGCATGTCAAACATGTGGCATTGTATGCTAGCTTTATGTCTCCGTGGGAAATGTATCTGCTGTAAAACATGTGTCCAAAGAAATCGTTAGCAAAGCAGAAGGATGATTCAGTTTATATACTAATAAATATAATAATCAATAAAACGGATGTCCATCTATACATTTGAATCGGTCATTTGGATATGTGAGATTTGGGGTGGTTTTTTTTGAAATTTTTTTGGAATCTTTCTGGTAGGTATTATAAAATGAGATGTATGTACACTGGTGAAGTTTACTTGACAGCATTTATTGCCTATAGTATAGACATTCGGAATTATATTAATCCTACAAATAATAATGAGTTGAATTTAAACAGGGGAGAGGGGAGCATGGTGTGGCAAGGCCACCTGGTTCCAGCCAAGGTGACAGAATAAGATGACTAAATTGTGCCAGAAATAAGAGACTAGATCTGTGGCCTAATTTCTGTCAACTTGAAACAGTTAGAATGATCTGAGAGGAGAGAACCCCAATTGAGAACGTGCTTCCACAGTATTGGGTTGTGGGCAAGTCACCGGGAGCAAGCCAGTAAACAGAATCCGTCCATGGCCTCTGCCTCAGCTCCTGCCTCCAGGATCCTGCCCTGTATGAGTTCCTATCCTGATCTCTTTTGATGATATACAGTGATGTGGACGTTTGAGTTCAACAAATTCTTTCCTCCCCAAGTTGCTGTGGGTCATGGTGTTTCATCATAGCAGTAGTAACCTTAACTAAGAAAAATTGGTATCAGGATTCTGAGGTATTTTTGTGATAAATTTGACCATGTTTTTTTTGGCGTGGGATTGTAGAAGGACTTTGGGACTTTGGGCTCTGAATGCCACTGAGTGTTCAAAGTTTGGTGGTCTGTTCTAAGGGAGCTTGGAAGATAGGCATGTTGGGAGAAAGGCAGGTGATGGAGGGAAGTCTGAGAGCCACTTAAAGATTCTGTCAGGGATGTTGCATAGTTGAGTTAAGAATCCGTGGTTCTGGTTACATAGGGCTGAAATACTGACTGTAATTAACAAGAGATCAGAACCAAAAAAAGAAAAAAAATGCTTTACTGGTACAATTGATGCTGGCCAGCTGGTCACCACTAAGAAATTAGCAGTGATTAAGAAGAGACCAGCATCATTGAGAGGAAATCTTCTGGAAAGTGTTTCTTTAGAGTCTGCAGGAACTCTAAAGGCAGCCAAGGTTGTATCTCACACTGGAAGCTTAATTTGGTAAAGAGTCACTGAGGTAGTACTGGTTTTGAAGGCATGAAGGGGTCATGAAGAACAGCTGAGGCTCAACACTGTAAGAGGCCGGGAGAGGCTGTTGGTGATGGTCCAGCCCCGTGGCAGCAGAGAACACAGGATTCTGGAGATGTAAGTACCATGGGATGACTGCCAAGGACACCAGTGGTGGGGTGGAGTTGGCTTTAGCTTAGAAGACAAGCTGTGTGTGTAGGAGGGGACAGAGCTGGAGAAGTGACTGAGGCTCCTTGAAAGAGCCCAGAAGATCATGGCTGAATCCCAGATATTGGAAATTGAATTATTTACACTGTTGTAGTGTGTTTTTGCTTTCTTCAGATTGTGACTATGCCCTGGTTCTTCCTTCTTGAAGTAAGAAAATATTTTATTTATGATTTTGTAGGAACCCACATTAAGAGACTTTGGGTTTTAATAGAGATTTTGATTTTTAAAGGAGATTTACAAGAGATTTTTAAAAGAGACAGAAAATTTAAAGTATTTGAATTGGCAAATAATATGGGACTTTTAAGTTTGTAACATGTTTCATATTTGTGATACTTATTAATCTGAGGTCTCTGGATGAACCCCTCTCCTCCCCAAAGGCTATGTCTTAAAAAGTGTTTCGTGTCAAGTTGATAAGGGGTCAACTGAGCTAGCTAATTTTATGTCTATTTGATTCAGGCTCGAGTCACCTGAGAGGAGAGAACCCAGATTGAGAAAATGCCTTCACAAGACTGGGCTGTAGGCAAGCCACGCGGAGCAGGCCAGTAAGCAGCACCCCTCCATGGCCTCTGCCTCAGCTCCTGACTCCGGGTTTCTGCCTTGTTTGAGCTCCTGGCTTCACTTTCCTTGACGATGAACAGTGATATGGAAATGTGAGCAAATAAATTCTTTCCTCCCCAGCTTGCTTTGGTCGTGGAGGAGTTTCATCACAGCGACAGTAAGGTGAAATATTTCAGTTTCTGTGACCAGAAACTAGGGGACACTTGGAACTCTCTCTCTCTCTCTCTCTCTCTCTCTCTCTCTCTCTCTCTCTCCCTCTCTCTTTCTCTCCTTCCTTCCCTCCCTCCCTCCCTCCCTCCCTGCCTCCCTCCCTCCCTTCCTTCCTTCCTCCTTCCTTCCCCCTCTTACACACACACACACACACACACACACACACACACACTACATAATATGATTTTATGATTTGGAAAACCCTTATAAATTAGGTTGAAAGAAACTTGTATTTCCACAGAGAGAATCAGGAGAAGGCAGAAAAACTCAAGGCTGGTGAGAGCCAGGGCCAGAGCTGCATTATGTGGCAGGGATGAAGAGAACTGGAAGCCATCTCTGTTAAAGGTGCAATGTCTCAGTAAGATCAGGAGAGCTCCTAAGAGGAACTCAAGCCCAGGACGCCCAGACCTGAGACCCACCTGAGATGGGTATTCATTTTCCTTTGTGTGTGCGATATCATCTATTTTTGATATCTTTCACACTAGAACTTGCTGTGGGTTTTCCCCATTATCTGTGTCCCTTCCTTCCTTCCTTCCTTCCTTCCTTCCTTCCTTCCTTCCTTCCTTCCTTCCTTCCTCTCACTTTCTCCCCTCCCTTCTCCTCTCTCTCCTCTCTGCCTCCCTGTTCTCTCTCTCTCTCTCTCTCTCTCTCTCTCTCTCTCTCTCTCTCTCTCTCTCTCTCTCCACACTGTTACTGAAGAACAAATAAACTTTGTTAAGCCTTTCAATCTTGGTTCTAAAGGAAAGACATGACCAGATGTTTATTTTTCCTATTTGCCTTCTTACATGATGATAAGACTCTCTGTGCACAGTGGCAGGGGAAAGGTCAGCTTAGCCTGTAAGTGCCACCTCCCACCCCAACTTGACACTTGAGCATGTCTTGATATCTGTTAGCACCATGTAACTAGAAATACATGAACACTGAGAAGTAGAGCTAGGGATTTTGCAACACAATTTCGGTGGCTTTTTAAAGCACTGCACTTTTCTTTAGTACTAACTTGTCTGTTTAGTTTTCTTTTACCTTTGCCACACCACTGAGTGCTGCTCACTAACTCCGAAGTCGTCTCTGTCTCTGAGCATCTTACCTCATTTTCAACTATTGTCTCCTCTGAAAATTTCTTTTTCTGGCTTCTGTAATATTCCCTATCCTGATTTACTACCCTTCTTCTCCGTGCTAGCATGCTGACCTTGTCTGTTTCTTTTCCATGCCCCACATTCAGGCTTCTCCT